GCTCAAGTGATTCTTCCACCTCAGCCTCTCAAGTAGCTGGAATCACAAGTATGCACCACCATGCCTGGCTAATTTTTGTATTTTTAGTAGATGCAGGGTTTCACCATGTTGGCCTGGCTGGTCTCAGACTCCTGACCTCAAGTGATCCACCTGCCTCAGCCTCCCAAAGTGCTGGAATTACAGGTGTGAGCCACTGCACAGGGAATGATTCTTAGTTTTTGTTTACATTACCCATCTGTTCTGGTCTGTTGTTTACTTTTACCATTAGATCCCCCTAACATATCACATTTTACATTTCTTGTCTGATAATTCCAACATCTGAGTGTGGTTCTGATGTTTGGTGTGTTTCATCTGATTGTTGAGGTTTTTTTCTTGCCTTTTTAGCATGCTTATAATTTTTTTGCTGAAGGTGGAATATCCACTGTATTGGGCCGTAGGAACTGGGGTAAATAAGCCTCTAGTATGAGAACTTATGTTAATCTGGCTAAAAGTTGAGCTGTATTTAATATTTTCTATAGCTGTAGGTGTCAGAGTCTTCCAGTTCCTCTAGTGTCTTTGTGTTTATCTCCTCTTGCCTTTGGGCTTCCCTAGATATTCCTCCTTAGAGAGTCTGTGTCTTGCATCTCTTCCAGCTGTAATTCACTGTTACTATCCTAGAGTCATGGTGGTGTGGTGGAAAACATGGGGAAGTGAAGCATTCTATAATCTTATGATGAAATCTCAGCATTTTAATGGGTCTGTGTCCTTGGGATGTGACCTTCACAAATATTTTTTCCTTTTTTTTTTTTTTTCCTTGAGGCAGTGTCTTGCTCTGTCACCCAGGCTGGAGTACAGTACAGTAGCACAATCACGGCTCACTGCAGCTTCTACCTCCTAGGCATGTGCCACAATGCCTGGTTTATTTTTGTATTTTTTGTAAAGATGAGGTTTCACCAAATTGCCCAGACTGGTCTCAAACTCCTGGGCTCAAGCAATCTGGCCAACTTGACCCCACAAAGTGCTAGAATTACAGGCCTGAGCCACTGCACTGGCCCATAAATGTTTCTCAATTCCCCTTGGTACCCCCTTAAATGACCCAGGAAGGCCAAAGGGGGCTGGAATGGGAGAAATGCCCTCCTCCAGATGGGATAAAGCTCTGTGAAAAATGCTTTCCTCCAGGGAATAAGCTTTGTTATGGAGAAGGCTCTGAGTACAAAGATGACTCTTCCCATCTCCTGCTAGAGCCACCAGAGGGTCTTTCTCAGCTCTTCACCAAGAGAACCAAGTAGGGTAAAACCCAGGAAAGTGTTGGGGGTGAGGGGGAGTTGCTCATTCCCATGCTAGTCCACACTCAACCTCCAGCAGTTCATCAAAATTACCATTTACGTTTTCCTACTAGTATGGCTCCAGTGGCTTCTGCTCCAGGCAATCAGATCTTGCTGACTCTCTGGACTCACCTCTCTCCAGATTTTGGGATGGCAGTTTGCCCTGCAAACTTAGCTCTCTAGAAGGCCCAAGAAAGGCCATTGATTTTGTTTGCCCAGCTTTTTCTTGTGGTAAAGATAGGATAACTTTCACACTCTACATGTCTGAGCTGAAACCAGAAGTGCCTTCTATAAGTATTTTTACAACTATGCTAGGCTTCCTGAAGAGTTAGGCCAAAGTTATTCATCTTAAAGTCCACAGGAGGCACTTACTAGGGATGAGACACCCTATTCCATGTTAGAAACATGGGTGTCCACATTCAACACAATCTAGGACAGCTTGGGTTTTGCAGTCAGACAGACCTAGGCTGGAAACCCAGCAGTGCAACCCTAAGCAAGCTTAACTTCACTACTCACTCATTTCTGCATCTGTAAACTACGTTGTTGGGAGGACAGTTAAGTCATGCATAATACTTAGCACTCAGTCTAGCCTACAGTGAGCCTACACATAACATTGTCCAAGTTTAGGAATCTACATAGGTCCTAGGGAGGTCTCAGTTTCAAAGACATGGGCAAAGTCACTATCAGAAACCAACTCAGCAGCACCCAATCTCATTCCCCATTGACCATTTCTGCCACCTTTGAGCTTGACACAATGCTTGAACACCCACCACCACCTGAGCCAGCTACTTGCTACTGAGGGCAAAGTAAGTCAGGCAGATCTGGATTGAACCCATCATTCCACCACTGAACTGGCTGTGTGGCCTAACCCAGGCTAATCTCTCTTAACTTTTCTATGTCTGGGGTCAGATGAACAGTTGAGTAACTACCTCACAGGTATGCTGGTAGTGCTAATGGATGTAAATGTGGTCATGCAGAGGTGGTTGACTGGCACAGATGGCAGTCATAAGGTTCCTCAATCTCTGAGCCTCAGTTTCTTCCAGTGTGAAACAGAGACGATAGGATCATTAAGAGATCTGCACTATGCTTGTGTAAAACTTTTCATTTAACCAGCACTGCAGGAATAACTGGGGATAAGGGCAGAACTGGAACCCATATCTATCCCCTGTTTAGAGCCCAGTGACCTTCATTTTTTCCAGAGGACTTCACCAGACAAACAACACAAGAGCTGGAACTATCTTCTGATACTCAGATGGTCATCATCAAGAAAGAAGGGATGTCATCTGATGATTCTCACTTGTAACACACGTGCACACAGACACATATACCCCCAACCTCTATCTCAGATTTTATTTTATTTTTTAAAAAGGCTCCAATACAAGGCCCCAGAGTAGTGCATGCAAATCAATGACCCTCAAAATGACAGTCATTGTCAGATAACAAGCACAATCTGCTACAGTCTGTGACCAGGTAAAGAGATCACAGACTTTTCCTTTTGAGTCCCATCACCAACGATGCTAATGTCCAACTTACCACACAGCTCACAATGACTCAGAGGTACATTTTAGTATCTGAACAGCAAAGACATATTGAGCTGCAAGTACAATGAATAAGTATCCTTAGTGTATTAGACAGGGGGAAATACAAACAAGGCATAAAAGGGAAAAGCCAACTTCACCTAATGCCTGAATTCCAAATTCTCTTCCATATTTTCTCATGATCTGTGTCTAGGGAGATCTGCTATGCCATAACAAGACGTTGCTCATTTGGTGATGAGATGGGGTTGTTTGCCTTGGAAGACTACAGGAAAGGTGAATATTCAGGAGGTAAGAATTCGAAATTGTGGTTATAATAGATAGGCCAAGTTTTCCCTGCTGTCAACCCGTCTCTGTAACTCCAGCTTTATGCCTGTATAAATTCTGTGAGATGGTATAGCTGATGGATGGTTAGAGAATTCTAACTCCTGTGATGTATATATTTACAGGAAAATATAATCATGGAAGAATTAAATGGAAGAATTCATGGAATACAACAATGGATAAACAATAAAATCAAAAGAATATGATTTTAGTTTGGTTTAGTATATTCAATGAGTTGGTGTTTTTTGTTTTTTGTTGTTTTTTGAGACAGTCTTGCTCTTGCCACCCAGGCTGGAGTGCAGTGGTGTGATCTCATCTCACTGCAACCTTCCGAGTTCAAGCAATTCTCGTGCCTCAGCCCCACTGAGTAGCTGGGATTACAGGCATCCGCCACTACTCCCGGCTAAGTTTTGTATTTTTAGTAGAGAGGGTTTTACCATGTTGGCCAGGCTGGTCTTGAACTCCTGACCTTAGGTGATCCACCCGCCTCAGCCTCCCAAAGTGCTGGGATTATAGGCGTGAGCCACTGCCTGGCCAGGTTTTTAAAAATAGTTAAAAAAAAAAAAAAGTTTCTTCTAGTTAAAAAAAAAAATGTTTCTTCTGTGTTTTTCAATGCTGTTACTTATAGATTGCTAACTGAGGTGATCTGAGGGAAGGGGTATGTTTAGTGAATTAGTCTTAATCAAAATCACCAGCTAATTAAAAGAGAAATGTTCTCATAAGAAAAATAATTATGAGGGAAAGCAGCAATTGGCTTCTGGAACTACCTGCTTCTCCACTCATCCTCGTCAGAGAAATGAGCGCCTAAGCAGGGAGGAGCCTACCGGCCATCTGGGAAACCCTCTAGAGTAACAGAGAAATGTCATGGGCCTCAGGGAAGAAAAAAGGCCTGTGCCAGGCAACATCTTAGATGCCTGGTTGCCAACTTCTCAAAACCCATAACAACCAGCAGGGTTGTTGACCGGCTGACCTTCGTTAACCCACTCATATGGCTATTTGTGAACAGATCCCAAATGCAAAGGGTCCTTCATACACTTCTACCCACTCCCTGTGCCTACACCCCTATACAAAACTTTTTCATTCAATCAAAAGACTAAGAAATGTGCTAAAGAAATGTGAACAACATCAACAGAAATACAGATTATTTTTTCATCAAGAGAGTTCAAACATTCCCATTACCAAGAGTGGTCTTCACCAGAATGTAACACAATGAATTTCAGTTCTCACACCAGTAACCAGTGAAAGTATGGCCTAGAGCTAGTTACAGGGCATAAAGTGACTAGTGGTCAGTTATTGTTCATTAGTTAAGATGAGTAACTGCAGAAACTCTACCCAGAGCTGAGCACATGTGGGTATTACGTCAGGTGTCAGTTAAGGGTTATGTTCCTATAAACCAAAGCACCAAAGCTAAATTAACAACTTCCCTTTCTGGCCTTAATTGGCCAATAGTCTAAGTACTATGGTGCTACCAGCATGATACTGGATTGTGCTTCTTCAAACATTTCAGGTTCTTAATACTAATATTGTTAATAAAATACATCATTAGGGTGGGCGTAGTGGCTCACGACTGTATTCCCAGCACTTTGGGAGGCGCCAAAGTGGCGGATCACTTGAGACCAGCAGTTTGAGACCAGCCTGGCCAACACGGTGAAATCCCACCTCTACAAAAAATATAAAAATTAGCCAGGCATGGTGGCACATGCCTGTAATCCCAGCTATTTGGGAGACTGAGGTACAAGAACTGCTTGAACCCGGGAGGCCGAAGTTGCAGTGAGCTTAGGTTATGCCACTGCACTCTGGTCTGGGTAACAAAGACAGACACTGTCTCTCAAAAAAAAAAAAAAAAAAAAAAAAAAAATCTCATCAGTGCCCCAGCTCAGGACAAGATGAACCAAAATGGAAGAAGGCTGATCAAAGAGCCTTGGAAATTATTTTAATTTTACCTTCTGACTCTGGGAAGCTTCCCTTCTTCTGGCAATGTTCCATGAAAGCTTCCAGATCACTGATTACTAAATTAGAGACTAGGCCTTTTAAACAGACCCAGATCAGAGTAATTTTGCCAAGCTCTGGAGGGAGATTTCTCCAGTGACAGTGAATTGTTCCATCAGAACAAGAGTGGTGAAACTCTTCTCACAAAAAAAGTTAACCACTCTTATTTTCTAAAAAGCTCAGGACCAGATTCACATTGATATCCCTGCACTGGGAGCTTAACTTCCTGAAAGAGACAAAGAAGAACTTAAACTGAGAAAATAGGCCCTCGTGAAATATTCCTGTCACCCTGCCTTAAAAAGAGGTGCTGGGCTCTCCTGCCTCTAAACTCGCCCCTTTATACAGCAGCACCTCCCCATTCGGTACTGACTGGAAGCACCAAGCAGGGGAGAGGCAGCCCCACATGAAATGGAACTCACAGCCTACTAGGGATGGACTTCTGTTTGAGCAGAATACAGCTCAATGGAATCTATCTTCTCTGTCTTGGCTAAAGGAAGGGCTCTAAAAAAGGCTGCCCTATAATACTGCATAAGGACCCAAGACTAGCAGTAGCAAATGGACCCAAGAGGTGCATAGCAGCCATTTTTGCCCTGGGACCAACAGAGCTGCATTTAGTTGTATCTTGGTAGTAAAAATGTAAACTCCCTTCAAAAGTGGTAAACCTCTGATTACAAAAAAATAATAATAAACAGGAAAAACAGCAAATGAATGCTGATTCTCCCTGTTCTAGTTTCTATTATTCAACTGTAGTGGAAATACCTCAAAGAGCACAACAGTGTGCATCTGAGTTCTCACCCCACCACCTTCCCCATCCATCCCACCTGCCCTGCTCCTGCTCCACTGGCTCCTGCCAGACCCCTGGGCCCAAAGGTGCCCTCCCCATTGCTGGTCAGTCAGTGCCCCTCTTCTGCTTGGCCAGGGTGTGCTTCAGCTCCCGCAGGTTCTCCGTCAGCACCTCTACCTCATCCAGACGGCCGCACTGCTTGGCATCAAAGATGTATGCCTTGATGTTATCGATCTGCTGCAGCAGGAGCTCCTCTTCTATGGGCTCCTCAGCCTCTGGCCCACTGTCACTGTCCATCTCAAAGGGGTTGGTACAGGTGGGTTCCTCAAAGGGGTTGCCAGGAACCAAAGGGCTTGGGTGCCTCTGCTGGGGATGTTCGTCTTCCTCATTGAAGGGGTTAGGAGCTGGGCTTTCTGGGTGAATGAATGGATTCCCAGCCGTTGCCTCCTCCTCCTCATCCTCTTCCTCAAAAGGATTGTACTCTTTCGGGATGTGGGCTGAAGGGCCGAAGGAAGCCCCTGCAGAAGGAGGATTAGCAGTGCCCTCTTCCACAGGGCTGGAAAGGTCTTCCTCATCAAAAGGGTTTAAGGAGGGCCTCTCATTTTGCTGTGACATGCTGCTCTGGGTTAAGAGCTCCTGGCCAAGGGCTGAGGGCCCAGACCACACTCTGATGGGCTCTTGAGCCGAGCTGGGTGTAGGAGTCTTGGGAGCTATGCTGCTTTGAATTGAGGAAGAGCCTAGATCCAAAGCATAAGCAAGGTGGGTACGAGGCTCTCTGCTGGGCTCCAGCTGAAAAGGGCCAATTTCTCGGAAGTCCAGGGACCTAGTCCGTGTGTGCAGGGATGCCACCCGAAACTGCTCCCTTTCTCGTTCCAACTCCCGTTCACGAAGCATTTGCAGCTGTTCCCGCTGCAGGTCCTCCTCCTCAGCCTGCCTCCGGGACAGCTCGATGGCCTTCGCTGTCTGCTGCTGGTCATACTCGTCCTGCAGCTGCCGCAGGTTCTCCTGCAGGGTGCGCACTTCATCCTTGCGGCCTGCAGCCTTGGCTTGCTTGATGAACGATGTGATGTTATGGATCTGCTGGAGGAGAGGGTCTGAGTCCTCACTCTGCCCCTGACCTCCTGACAGTGGGAGCCAGCCCTCAGCCTTTCTCAAGGGGGCAGGACCCCTGCGAAGAGATGCCACTTCGCCGTTGGCTGCTCGAGAAGCCAGGCCACTCTGCCTTTCCTCAAGCCTTCGCTGGGACTCCAGGGTAGCCTGGGGAGACAGCAAAACAGAGAGAAGAAATAGTCACCATGCTGGCAGCAGCCCACACTGTCAGCCACCCTCTGTTGTCCTTCTATCCCTAAGCCAGTGACAGTCCAATTTCCCACCTGAGGACAAAGATATCCAACTGCTAAAATCAGCTCATGTTTTTGTGTTTGTAGGTGGAAGGGAGGCCCTGATTTTCAAAAATAAAATATAATGAATAAGTTAGGGCATCAGATTTTCTCAGTCTTAGATCACAAGCTATAGCCAGGCACAGTGGCTCACACCTATAATCCCAGCACTTTGGGAGGCCAAGGCGGGCAGATCACGAGGTCAGGAATTTGAGACCAGCCTGGGCAACATAATAAAACCCCATCTCTACTAAAAATACAAAAATTAACCAAGTGTAGTGGCCTGCACCTGTAGTCCCAGCTAGTTGGGAGGCTGAGGCAGGAAAATCGCTTGAACCAAGGAGGTGGAGGTTGCAGTGAGCTGAGACCATACCATTGCACTCCAGCCTGGGTGACAGAGTAAGACTGTCTCAAAAAAAAAAAAAAAAAAAAAAAAAAAAGATTCACAGGCTGTATACTTTTCTTAAACCTCTGAGATCTGTTCCCTTCATCTACACTGGAATCTCACACAGCGTTAAATACATGTATAATTTACTGCTTAAGACTGCATATTTCAATATGTTCTATAAGGAACTTCCTAATGTCTTGGTCCTCTGCAACTTCTACCATAGGGAGAACTGCGAATCTCTGTGGTATTCATGAGAGAATCAGCAAAAGCTCAGCAAAAGAAAAAGAGGGCCTGGGGAGAAAAATAATTACTCTGGTTCCCACAGAAGAAAGTGAGGCTGAAACACAACGAAAGAAATACGCACATTTGAGAGTGAGAGGTTCTGAATCACTACAGCCCCATACAACCTGGGAGCCCATGGCAGCCTCTGCGCTCGACAGCCACAGGTGGAAGCAGGCCCCTGTATCCCTGGCCTCACTTACTTGTCTCTCCACGGCCCTCTTCCTCTCCATTTCCTCCTTCCTTTTCTTTTTCAGTTCCTCAAACTGTTCTTTGGTCGGCAGTGACATCAAACCAAGCAACTTTTCCTGCAGAGAGTGACAGACAATTTTACACTTAAACCTTTTTAGGGAAAAAATGAACCTTAAGCTCTCTGATGAGAATCTGCTTAAGCTGAGCCACTCTGTTCTTGGAGAGTGACGTCATTTAAGATCAGCAGGAAAAGAGGGAACTCTTACATTGGGTGAGAGAGTCAACTTTCAAATGGGCCTGCGTTTTCCTCATGAAATGATCAACAGCAGATATCCCAGTTATTCACCTGGCTCCAGTGTTAGCTTCTCTATGAGGTCTTGTCCCTTCCCATCCTATTAACTTAGCAAACCTCAATTCTCTCCCACACTTCCCTGCTGTAAGTTTCTCCACAGCACTTCTGCCATCTTACATACTAGATATTTTAGTTGCTTATGGTCTCTCCCCTTCTCTACAACATAAGCTTTATGAGAAAAGGAAAGTTGGTCATTTTTGTTCACTACAGGACACTACCTGGTACATAGGAGGCACTGAACAAATGATTGCTGAATAGAGTCACTAATCAAAGTGAGGAAGGGCCTACCTCTCTGTACTACAGTGTTAGAAAACTGACCCAACAGGACTCTATCTATTAGATCTCTTTGTTGGCTGGTACAGTGGCTCAGGCCTGTAATCTCAACACTTTGGGAGGCTGAGGTAGGCAGACTGCTTGAGCTCAAAAGTTTGAGACCAGCCTGGGCAATGTGGTAAAACCCTATCTCTATTTAAAAAAAGAAAAAAAAACTTTGTTTTAATTAAAAAAAAAAAATAGACTTCTTTGTCAGGGAGCCCCAAAGGCAGTTAACTATGACTCTTTCAGAAGGGGCTTTCAGGGGTAGAAAGATACAATTCAGATCTAACCACCTAGGTTAGTCTGCCCTTAATCAGCTGTTTCTTCCCAGCTGATGGCTCAGGAAGAGTCCTGTAGGAGATTATCCTAAGGAAGAAATACTAAGTACCAGTATTACTACCCTGACAACACTTAACAGCAGCAAAAAATTAGTCTATCAAATGCCCAACTAAAGGAAAATGGTTAAAGAATGGCATAGACAGTCAATATGCACTATTGTAACTACTGTATATAAAAAATGCAAATGGGAAAAAAGATGAAAACATACCAGAATAATGAGTGATTGTAATGGGGACACAGGATTTAAAGTAGTTTTAGTTTTTTCTGAAATTCAGATTTTTCTCTAAATGTGGCATCATGCTTTCATAATTTCAAAAAATAATAAATGTATAAATAAGAAGTAAATAAGTCATTGCATGGATCTGCCTTCTGGGAAGGAAAGAGCAGGACAGGCCAAGCACGACATTTATGCCAACCAGGATGGCTTTACCTGCACAAAAAGTGTTGCTGAGTATCTGATCATTCTCTGCAGCCGCAAATTGCTTGGATGTGGTGGCGGGTCCTGGTTCAAGCCTAAGGTTAAGATCTTCTTACTGAATTGGAACAAATATATGAATGTAATGAGCACTGCCAGCTTCAGAAACAAGGACAAAAAGTGTAACATCAGGAGTTGCCAGGCTTTCATGCAAGGAAGGTGTGTAGAGATGGGTAAATGACTCCACCGAAGTTTCCTTGAAGGCAAAACCCATTTCTTACCCTTTGCTGTACTTAAGGCCTCAGCACAGGGTGCACAACAAACACTGTCATGGAAGGACTGACTACATATGCAGAGCCAGCTTCACAGGTGAGCGATCTAGGCAGCTGCACAAGGTCTGGCACTTAAAGTGCCCTGTGCTTGGTTTAATGCTCTGCTGTTAGGGTCTTTATTCTTAATAATTTTTGAACAAGGGACATGCATTTTCATTTTGTGCCAGGCCCTGCAAACTATGTAGCCTGTGCTGTATGTCTGGATGGACAAAGGCGCCTCATCTCATTCTCCCTCTGAGTTGCTGTATTTCTCATAACTCAAAGGGCTAATTTAACCCGAATGGCCAGTCCACAATTAAAAAGCAGCTGTGGACTTGAGCACAGACACAAAGAACGAACCTGAGTTTCTACCTTCACTCTACAACTTTTGCTATCTGTGACATGATTCCTCATCTTTGACACAGGATGTTAATCCCTACCTCACAGGGTAACTTCAACAGAATAAATGAGCCATTCTAGAGAAAACAACCAGTGACCGGCACATGATAGGTGTCAATAACCAGCTCGTTTTTAATAACAAACATTAGAAACCCCTAATGAAACAAAAGTCACTGAGATGCATTACGTGCTAGAGCTGGCCACTTTCTTGCCCTCCTCCTCACCCACTGCCCCATCACCAGAACTCTGAGTGAGTGCAGGTCTGCTTTCACCATCATTTCATTAGAACAGCATCTTCTCCATTCTACCAGTGGGCAGGATACCACTTAATGGACCTTACCTTAAAGCGTCTATTAGCTCATACACTTTCTGCACTTCCACTCGAAGATCACTGGCATGTTCCAAACTGTAGGTTGTCTCCCCAGCACTAAGGAGAAACCACAGAGACAAGTGATCTAAGTTTCATGGTGCAAATCGGACAGCGTAGCGTAGAAAGATGCTAAAGGTGGGCCGGGCGCGGTGGCTCAAGCCTGTCATCCCAGCACTTTGGGAGGTCGAGGCGGGTGGATCATGAGGTCGAGAGATCGAGACCATCCTGGTCAACATGGTGAAACCCCGTCTCTACTAAAAATACAAAAAAATTAGCTGGGCATGGTGGCGCATGCCTGTAATCCCAGCTACTCAGGAAGCTGAGGCAGGAGAATTGCCTGAACCCAGGAGGCGGAGGTTGCGGTGAGCCGAGATCGCGCCATTGCACTCCAGCCTGGGTAACAAGAGCGAAACTCCGTCTCAAAAAAAAAAAAAGATGCTAAAGGTGTAAGGCCTCACAAAAGCAGTTAATTCTCTAAAAGTGGCATTTCAGACTTTCGGATATAAAGCACTGCCCATCTCTTGAAATGAATGAATCAAGTGGAAATGACACTTCAATTTGCAGATACTACAGGGACAGACTCATACTGAGGCCTCCAGGGACTAGCCCTTATGCTCATCACTAAAACAAATGTGGCTGAATTTACTCTGGCCTACTTTCCCTAAACAATCCCACTACATCTAACAAGATATAAGAAGTGGTTTACTAAATGAGTTGGTTATACTACATTAAGAGCAGAAAGCGACTTGGCTTTTCTGGCTCAAAAGTACCCAAGAAGGTTTGAGACTGGCCTATCCAACATGATGAAACCCTGTCTCTACTAAAAATACAAAAATTAGCCAGGCATCGTGGTGGGCACCTGTAATCCCAGCTACTCAGGAGACTGAGGCAGCAGAATCGCCTGAACTGGGAGGCGGAGGTTGCAGTGAGCTGAGGTTGCACCCTTGCATTCCAGCCTGGGCGACAGAGCAAAACTCTGTCTCAAAAAATGTGTGTGTATATACACACACACACACACACACACACACACACACACACACACACGGTTTTGTTTTAAACAAAGCACATCTACTGATACATGCATCACTTTAGATGTACAGGTAGGCAATAAAGGTTTGTTTTTCTCTGAGACAGGAGTCTCACTGTGTCGCCAGGCTGGAGTGCAGTGGCGCCATCCCAGCTCACTGCAACTTCTGTTTTCTGGTTTCAAGCAATTCTACTGCCCCAGCCACCCAGGTAGCTGGGACTACAGGCACGTACCACCACATCTGGCTAATTTTTTGTATTTTTAGTAGACATGGGGTTTCACCATGTTCGCCAGCATGGTCTCAATCTCTTGACCTTGTGATCCACCCGCCTCGGCCTCCCAAAGTTCTGGGATTACAGGCGTGAGCCACCATGCCCGGCCGGCAACACAGGTTTGAGGCAAAGACAGAAAACTCTGAAATTAATAACACTGGAGACCATAATTATTCTTTTCCTACAGGTTGGAAAAACACTCCTGGGATCTGAATCTAGTAGTTAGCACTTCAACTTCTAGGTCACAAACACTAAGCTTCAGAAAAAGCCATTCTCTTAAGCAGGGATCACCAAATTTTTTCCATAAGGGGCTGAATCATAAATGTTTTCAGCTTTGCAGGCCACATAGTCTCTTTTGCTGTTATTCAACTCTGTCATGGTGATGCAAAAGCAGCTACAAACAGTAATCAAACAAGGGCATGGCTATGTTCCAATAAAACTTTATGCAAACAGGTAGCAATAACGAGTGTTGGTAAGGCTATAAAGAAAGTAAAACCCTCTCGAGGCAGAAAGAAGTCTGCTTAAAAAAAAAAAAAAAGAAAGAAAGTAAAACCCTCATACACTGCTGGTGGGAATGCAAAATGGTGCAGTCATTCTAGAAAACAATTTAGCAATTCCTCTACGGAATGTTACTCTATGGTAACATACAGTTACCATAAAACCCAGCAATTCCACTCCTAGGTACCTACCTAAGAGTAATGAAAACACGTCCACACAAAGAACATAAAAACTTGTATACAAATATTACAGGAGCATTATTCATAACAGCCAAAAGTAGAAAAAAACCCAAATGTCATCAACTGATGGATAAACAAAATGTGGTTAGTATCTACACAATGCATTCATACAGACAGAATGAAGTACTGATACATGCAACAACATGGATGAATCTTTAGAACATTACACTGTGTGAAAGAAGTCAGAGAAATTTTATATTATGATTCCATTTATATGAAATGTCAAAAAACAGACACATCCATAGAGACAGGAAGTAGATTAATATTGGCCAGGGAGATGGGGAAAGAATAGCAGCTGCTAATGGGTATGGGGTTTCCTATTGGAGTGATGAAAATGTTTAGAATTAAGACAGTGGTAATGGGCGCATAATTTTGTGAATACACTAAAAACCACCAAATTGTACACTTTAAAAGAGTAAAGTTTATGGTGTGTGAACTACATCTAGATTTTTAAAAAGAAGCAGATGTCAAGCTACATTTGGCCCATGGGCTGCAGTCTGCCAGCCGCTACTCTAAGGGAAACGCCTGCTTTAAGCCCTGGCACCTCAATGTGACACTGAAATGGGATCTACCCAGGCATGAGCATGAGACCCACTGCCCTTCCTCTGCTCCAACGAGATGCTGCATTCAGCAACAGTAGCTATTGTCTGAGGCCTTCCCAAACCTGCTTGGTCGGAATAGCCAAGGTCAACTCAATGTGGCTACCTTTTTACAAGCTCATGTGATGGTAATATGTACCCCATTAAAAGACAGACATGAAGATGATTCTCTTCATAACAGCCAAAAGTGGAAAAAAACCAATCTCAGCTGGTCTCAGAAAAAAAAACACAGTTAAAATTAAGATTTTCATTTTTGGCTAGTGGAGAATTGACCTAAAATGCCAGAAAACTCTCACCACTGGATTAGAAAAACATAGAGGAATAGCTTACTTTAATGATGCTGCCATCTTGATGTATTCTGGAGCTTTCTGGTCAACTTTCTCCATGCAGAGTCGTAATTTCTAAGAACAAAAACAAAGAGGTAAATGGTATGCTCAAGATTAGAAAAGCCTACCCAGAAGCTAGGCTCCATCAACGGAGATATATTTTAAATGTTTACTTTTCTATTAATTGTTGTTATCAATTTTCTGATTTATAGGCCTAGTTTCCAAGCAGAAAATCTTACAGGAAGGAAGGAAAGTGACAATGGAGCTTCTGACCAGACGTTTCGTTCTGTCACCCAGGCTGGAGTACAATGGCACGATCTCTGCTCTCACTGCAACCTCTACCTCCTGGGCTCAAGTGATTCTCATGCCTCAGCCTCCTGAGTAGCTGTAATTACAGGCACGCTGCCACCATGCCTGGCTAATTTTTCTATTTTCAGTAGAGATGAGGTTTTGCTATGTTGGCCAGGCTGGTCTGGAACTCCAGGCCTCAAGTGATCCACCTGCCTCCGCCTCCCAAAGTGCTGGGATTACAGGAGTGAGCCACGGTGTCCAGCCAGACATTTTCGAGAGGAGCAAGGCCTTATAGGGCACAAGCCAAGGTGTCTACCAAGACAAAAAGGAAATAGCTGCTACTTTCTTCCTCTGCCAAGTGATGCCAGGCAACAATGGGAAACCAGCACAAAGCACTGCCAGGGTTCACTTCAGAAGAGGAGGTGGTAAAAGCACAGTGGGTATTCAAAGAAATGAGATACCAGGTCTTGAACTCCACACAAAGGATGGAGAATAGCTCCATCTGCAACTCAATATGGGGCTTAATTAACACCATTTCTAATAGTCTGAGTATTTACATGGGGATTCCAGAAACACTGCCATTATGATCTGCAGAACTGCTAACAATGACTATTCAGTAGTCATCAGACAAAAATATACTCTTCCTCTGTTCAGAATGTTGCACAGCTGCTTCCTCAGACTGAGCTGATCTCTTCCCTGCATCTCTTACTGCCTCCCCACTCAGCTCACCTGGCTAGTTCTCCTCAGCTCACAGGTCTCAGCTGGCCATTAAGGGACCAAGCCAGTCTCACTCCCAGATATTCTTTGTACACTATTTCTTCTCAGAGTATATGCATCTAGTAGGGGGATTGTGGGATCACTGGTGGTAACAACAGCTGAGGCATTTGGACAAACTTAAGAGGGGGACACAGGCGGGTGGATCACGAGGTCGAGAGATCGAGACCATCCCGGTCAACATGGTGAAACCCCGTCTCTACTAAAAATACAAAAAATGAGCTGGGCATGGTGGTGCGTGCCTGTAATCCCACCTACTCAGGAGGCTGAGGCAGGAGAATTGCTTGAACCCAGGAGGCGGAGGTTGCGGTGAGCCGAGATCGCGCCATTGCACTCCAGCCTGGGTAACAAGAGCGAAACTCCGTCTCAAAAAAAAAAAAAAAAAAAAGAGGGGGACACTTGGTAAACTGGTAAAGCCTGAAAACTTGTAAAGTTTCAGTAAAATGATAAAGCCTAAAAACTTGTAAAACTTTCTAAAACTTGTGAAGTCTAACACTCCCAAGTGAGTTTCCCGGGATTCTTCCGGCCCACTGTTAATGAACATCTCTAGCTTCTCGCCTCCCCACAGAACCTGTCCACACCACATGGCAACTGCCCTTCCTCCTCTTGCCTCTGGGCCACCAAAGCCTCCACCCTCCTGCTTTCAAGTGGCCAAGGAAGGGTGAGGGAATGAGTTTGTTGTAACACACCCAGGATGACTCTGTGACTCACACAGGGCCCTAGCTGGGAAATCATAACATAGCCCTTTAGCAGGAACTACAAATGATTCAAAGGAACAACTTCCCAAACCGTTCTCCAGAATGTGCAGGAGTGTACATGACAAAGAGCCAAATCTGCCTGCGAAATTAGACCCAAGACCAGACAGTGCATATCACCTCGTAGAGCTTCACGATGTCAGGTGTGTGTTCCTTCTCATCAATCTGCTGCTCTCTCTTGAGCAGCGTGTCCTTGCAGTGTGTACAACAGCGAATCCGGTCATCGTCCTTCTCATCCAGGACCGAGCTGACACTGTTCATGCTGCTGATGCTGCCTCGGCGGGAGCCATGGACACTATTGGGTGACTGGCTGGGGCTGGTGTGGGTGCTCAGGGACTCCTTGCTGGCACTGGTGAGCTTGTCTGTAACCACAACACCAACAGACAGCAATGACCCCCACAGCATCCAATTACCATACCCACGAACTTGAGGTGTCAGTCCACAGGTGTTTGATTTGGAAAGTAGTAAGATCAGTCTCCAGCTGTGAGCAAGTACTGCCCCTCTGCCTTCCTAGTGTCAGACTCTGGTGGGAAAGGACTCCAGTGCTGCCCCTCCAAATCCAAACAACCTGGCCTTTCCACCTGGCAGCCTCTTCCATTTGCCCTCTGCCTCCAACACAATGTATATTCTCCTGGGAGACTTTCCTCCACAGCCTTCTCCCTATTTACAAGCATCTGGCTCCTATTCTCTCTAAATGGCAGGTACTCTGGGAAAGCCTTCTCCAATTCCCTGAGGCAAAAACTATCCATCCTTCCCATCGGCTCCCACCACACTGCCCATTTTGGAGCACTTTCCACTTTTCTCCCTGTGTACAGTTACATATACACCCCACAGCTGCCCTAGGAAACCATGACTCTTTGCGGGTACAAACTGTGTCTTATTCACACTTGCACTCTTCACATATCCAGCAGGGCCACCCCACAGCAGCTGCCCAGTAAATGCTGGCTAAAGACCTCAAGGGAAGAAAGGTGAATAGTGTCCCAAAAAGGCAGCTTATAAAGTCATGTGAGAAAGGGAGTTGGTCTCAGGGAGAAAGGATCAAGGTAAAGTGACTAGTGTATGTAACAGTTGGACAGAAGCATCTGTTTTTGTTCCCACGTTATCCAGACACCCCATGGCCACCAGCATGCACAGCCAGCAGAACTCTCTAGTGTTGCAAATGTACCCCAAACTTCCCAGAAACCAATGAGATCATCTTCAGCAACTTCTAATCAGCTTGGTTGCAAAGTCCTAGAAGATCGAGTTCCGCCTAAATTTTGTCCTCCACACACACACCCTGCCAACTATTCTATTTGCTCATCTATTAATCTACCCTGGACTTTCCAGAATTCCATGCCTTTGCTCCTGCTCTTCACTCTACCTAAAATGCCTTCCTTCTCCATCTCTTTCACAATCCTATACATCTTTCAAGGTTCTTCTCGCCTAACACTTCCTAGCCCTAAGTATCCATGCTCTCATTGTCCCTGAGCCTACGGCACTCAGCATCTCTCATATTATGGTATTAATCTTTTCTATATGAAAGCGAGTTGTCTGTGACTTATCCTACAGGAAGGGACTATTCCACTGTTTATATTAAGACCTTCTTCTCAAAGTCATACCTGCCACTTCCAAGCAGAGCTGACAAACAGTTGGTCGGCCTCTCCTGAGTGCCTGACACAATCTCTTTCACAGTACATCTCTCCTTAGAAAGCAATTATTTATTTGTGAGTTTGTATCCACTGCTAGATGCTGGACTTCTTGGAAGAATGAACAATGCCTTATAGGCCAGAAATGGGCAAAAGATGACCTGTGAGCCAAATCCAGCCTGAAGGTTGTTTCTATATGGCTCTCAAATTAAATATACTTTCTATTCTATTCTATTCTATTCTGAGATGGGAGTCTCGCTCAGTCGCCCAGGCCGGAGTGCAGTGGCTCAATCTCAACTCACTGCAGCCTCTGCCTCCTGAGTTCAAGCAATTCTCTTGCCTCAGCCTCCCGAGTAGCTGGGGCTACAGGTGCATGCTACCAGGCCTGGATAATTTTTGTTTTTGTGGTTTTTTTTTTGAGATGAAGTTTCGCTTTTGTTGCCCAGGTTGTGATCTCGCCTCACTGCAACTTCTGCCTCCTGGGTTCAAGTGATTCTCCTGCCTCAGGCTCTCAAGTAGCTGGGATTACAGGCATGCGCCACCACGTCTGGCTAATTTTGTATTTTCAGTAGAGACAGGGTTTCTCCATGTTAGTGAGGCAGGTCTCAAACTCCTGACCTCAGATGATCTGCCTGCCTTGGCCTCTCCCAAAGTGCTGGGATTGCAGGCGTGAGCCACTGCGCCGAGCCTAATTTTTGTATTTTTATAGAGACAGGGTTTCACCATGTGGGCTAGGCTGGTCTTGAACTCCTAACCTCAAGTGATCCGCCTGCCTCAGCCTCCCAAAGTGCTGTGATTATAGGCATGAGCCACTGCACCCAGTCTAATGTTCACATTCTTAAAAGATAGTTTAAAGAAAGAAGAAATGTCACAGAAACCATATGTGGCTCACAAAGCCTAAATTTATTTACTATCTGATAGTTTACAAAGTTTGCCAACCCCTGTTATAGACCACTCTATCTCTGGCCCCTAGCATAGTACCTAGCCTGTAGTGGGCTTCACAGAATCAGCAATTGAATGAATGAAGATTCCAATGAACCATTAATTTAACAAAAAGGTTCCACAGTCCCAGTGGTGATTAGCAAATAAGCTAGGACCAAAAGAAGATGAGGGTCCAGGGCCCCACCTCCAGGTCACCTACTTGCCAAGGGAAGGCTGATGAGCTCCATACACTTCTTGCACATAATAGACCCGCAGAGGCGACAATGGTGGCGGCGGTTCCGGATGCTGAACTTATTCCCACAGTCTGGACAGAAAGGGACATCCTGGTCGTTGACCCAAGGCACCACAGACTTTTCTATTGCTTTGGGAAGAACAAACCAACAAAAAAGCCAGCCATTTTAAAGAGAGATTTGGTCAGGGAAAAAAGATAAAGGATAAGATGAATGAGAGCAAAGTTTTAAAGTTACCTCTAATCTTTGCAGACTCCGTATTTGTTCTGTCAAATGCAGTGAGCTGACCAGGAGAAAATAGTGCCAAGTGAAATTAACCAGGTGATGTATACATGCTCCACACTTCCCAATACATCGAGTAGGAATTAGCACATTTGGATTTCTCAAGTCTCATCTGTCATCCCCAACTCCACAAAATCACAAAAGCAATTTCACGTGGGACAGAATATTAGTTTTGCATCTAGAAGCCACCTCCCTTCCTGTGACCCACTTCTAATCTCTTTATTGTCAGTTACCCATTTTAGCAATAACCAGGGCTAGGCAAGGATGGGTAGGGGCAGCAATTGAAAGCAATGGAAAACTCTCCATTCTCCACAGTGCTCCTGGACCCTAAAACTGGCCACTTATTTCTGCCTTACAAAGTACACATAAAGAACTGTACTTGTGGTTGCTACTATGCCCAGCTCAAAATCCAGGTTACACACAACAAGTATATCTAGGATCAAAAAACACCAGTGAGACCTGGTCACTCCTTTGTTTGTGATCACACCCCACACTTCACTAGGTGATTGGGCCCAGGACACCCAAAAGAAGAATCTGAATGAAAAAAAGGTTTTGCCAGGCGCGGTGGCTCAAGCCTGTAATCCCAGCACTTTGGGAGGCCGAGGCAGGGTGGATCACAAGGTCGAAAGATCGAGACCATCCTGGTCAACATGGGGAAACCCCGTCTCTACTAAAAATAAAATAAAACTAGCTGGGCATGGTGGCGCGTGCCTGTAATCCCAGCTACTTAGGAGGCTGAGGCAGGAGAATTACCTGAGACCAGGAGGCGGAGGTTGCGGTGAGCCGAGATCAGGCCATTGCACTCCAGCCTGGGTAACAAGAGCAAAACTCCGTCTCAAAAAAAAAAAAAAAAAAAAAAAAAAAAAGAAAAAAAGGTTTTCCAGCATCTGAGTGGGATTTATAGGTGGTGAAAGGGAAGCTGAGCATGTGGCAATTGTTAGCCTGGGCCATTCTCTTAAGGAAAGCTGGCCCAGGCTAGAACTGTCCACCAGGTCCTCTGCACCTCTCTAGAGAAGAGGTTTCTCTGGCAGCATCAGATGTATATGACATCTACAACACATGCTATAGAAATGTGATTATTTTTCCCCAGAAAATGTGTATTTTTAGAAAAAAATGTTTTAAGACTACAAAATTTACCTTCTCTAACCTGATTATTAATTTATTGACTTCCACAACATAGTGGTCAATTCTAGCAGCTCGGTGTTTTTTGAATTCAGAAAGATGGCTTCTCACAGCACCTAGAAGGAAGGAAGTGGGGAGACAAATGACTTACAATTTCTCTGAGGGAGCCTCTCTACCTTGCCGCTTATCCTCAATGAATTTCAAAAGCAGGCTGGTCAACATAGTGAGACTCAGTCTCTCTCAAAAAAATAAAAAAATTAGCCAAGGGTGGGCATGTACGCCTATAAGCCCAGCTCCTCGGGAGGCCAAAGCAGGAATATGGCTTGAGCCCAGGAGTTGGAGGCTTCAGTGAGCTATGATCCCACCAGTGTACTCCAGCCTGGGTGACAGAGTGAGACCAATCTCAGGAAAAACAAAAAAATTCAAAAGCAAGAAAAACTCTAAGATTTTATAGTCTTACCAAAAAATTCAAAAGCCAGGATAGCAAATGGAAGAAATCTGCTAAAATGTTAACTATGTCCTTTAGGCCACCAAATACCATATGAGAGACTTTATAGTAGGTAACAGCATGTACGCTGGAGTCAGCCTGTGCTCAAGTTTCAATTCTGCCACACGCTGTGTAACCCTGGACAAGTTACTTAACTTCTCTGTAACTCAAGAGTACTCAACTGTCAAATATAGTAATAATGGTATCTACTTCAGAGAGTTGTTACGATGATTAAATAAGTTAAAATTTATAAAGTCTTACCTGACTCTCATGCTAATGTTAAATAAACAGGGTGATAACATCATGGGCAATTTAACAATTTTTGAATTCTCTTATTGTTTTATACTTTGTAAATCTGATACAATATGGCTTTTCCTCAGGATAAAGACAATTCTGAAAATGGCCAAAAAAATGATAGATTCCCTTGTGGGAGCTAGTTAAGCTGATACCTTCCTCAGTCCAGCAGCCAAGACCTGGGACAAACATCTGCAACACAAATAGAACCTAACAGCTTACTGTCTGAGAATACCTGAAATATTTCCAGCTCAGTCTCACCTGATCCAGAAACATATTGCCCTCAAATATCCCAGCACTCAGTGCACGTCCTCATCCCAGTGATCACCTATTCATTTATAGATTGTACTATAACAGATTTTGTCACATGCGATGCTTTTTAAAAAAATTTTAATTGCCAAATAAAAATTGCATATATTCACCATGTACATGATTTTTTGAAATATTTATATACTAGGGAATGGCTAAACTAGCCAATTAACATATGCATTACATCATATACTTATCACTTTTTGTGGTGACAATACAAAATCTACTCTCACTGATTTTTTTTTTTTTTTTTTTTTTTTGAGACGGAGTTTGGCTCTTGTTACCCAGGCTGGAGTGCAATGGCACGATCTCGGCTCACCTTGGCTCACCGCAACCTCCGCCTCCTGGGTTCAGGCAATTCTCCTGCCTCAGCCTCCTGCGTAGCTGGGATTACAGGCACGCGCCACCATGCCCAGCTAATTTTTTGTATTTTTAGTAGAGACGGGGTTTCACCATGTTGACCAGGATGGTCTCGATCTCTTGACCTCGTGATCCACCCGCCTCAACCTCCCAAAGTGCTGGGATTACAGGCTTGAGCCACCGCGCCTGGCCTATTCTCACTGATTTTTAAGAATACAAGATTTTTTTTTTTGAGACGAGTCTCGCTCTGTCAGCAGGCTGGAGTGCAGTGGTGTGATCTTGGCTCACTGCAACCTCTGCTTCCCAGGTTCAAGCAATTATTCTGTCTCAGCCACCCAAGTAGCTGGGACTACAGGCATGTGCCACCATGCCCTGCTAATTTTTGTATTTTTAGTAGAAATGGGGCTTCACTATATTGGTCAGGCTGGTCCCAGAACTCCTGGCCTCAAGGGATCCATGCTCCTCGGCCTCCCAAAGTGCTGGGATTACAGGTGTGAGCCACTGCACCCAGCCCACAAGATATTTTTATTAACTGTAATCAGGCTGGGCATGGTGACTCACACCTGTAATCCCAGCACTTTTGGAGGCCGAGGAGCATGGATCACTTGAGGCCAGGAGTTCTGAGACCAGCCTGACCAATATAGTGAAGCTCCATCTCTACTAAAAATACAAAAATTAGCCAGGCGTGGTGGCACATGCCTGTAGTCCCAGCCACTCAGGAGGCTGAGGCACAAGAATTGAACCCGGAGGCAGAAGTTGCAGTGAGCCAAGATCACAGCAGTGAGCCAAGATTGCAGCAGTGCACAGCAGCCTGGGTGACAGAGGAAGACTGTCTCAGAAAAACAAACAAAAAACTATAAATCACCCCTTTAGCAACAGATCTCTTGACTTATTCCGCCCGACTGAAATTTTGTATCCTTTGACCAGCATCTCCACATGCTATACACCATTTATGTATTTATTTATTTCACAGAGTCTTGCTCTGTCACTGGAGTGCAGTAGTGCAATCTCTCGGCTCACTACAATCTCCGCCTCCTGGGTTCAAATGATTCTCATGCCTCAGCCTCCCAAGTAACTTGGATTATACGTATGTGCCACCATGCCTGGCTAATTTTTGTCTTTTTACTACAGACAGGGTCTCACCACATTGGCCAAACTGGTCTCAAACTCCTGGTCTCATGTGATCCACCTGCCTTGGCCTGCCAAACTACTGAGATTAAAGGTGAGCCACCGCACCCAGGCCCATACATGCCATACTCTTAACCATCCACATGTCTTTTCTTCCCTAACCATACTCTAACATCTAATTAAACTTCATTTTAGAATTCTTAGGGGTGACCATAAATGTTAACTGCTAAAATTTGCCATTCACTTGACCTTCTACAGTTTGTGACTATCTTCAGTTGCTGCAACTGGCAACTTAATCAGAAAATCACCCTAGTAATCTCACATTGGCAATCATGAAACAAGCTATCACAAATAAATATTAACTTATAAAATTTGCCATTCACTTGACCTTCTACAATTTGTGACTATCTTCAGCTGCTGCCACTGGCAACTTAATCAGAAAAACACCCTAGGAATTTCACACTGGCAATCATGAAACAAAGCTAACAAGAATTCATATGTCCAAAATTTCTCCTTCATGTTTTGAATTGGCTTTCATATAACATCTCATAATTACATATGTATAGTATTATTTTTAAAGCAATTTTCTCCTGCAATAATAAAAATGTTTCAATTCTCCGATACAGTAGCAAATAGCCCAAGTGGACACAGAGCACTTAAAATGTGGCTAGTGTGTGGTTCAGGAAGTGACTTTTATTTTATTTTAATTTATTTAAATTTAAATAGCCCATGACTGGTGGCTACTGAAAAAACAGAACAGTTGTTGGACTCTCCTTATTCAAAGAGACACCTTCTTTAATGGTACTATAGGGATACAGTAGATGAGCCTCGGTAAATATCGCTTTCATTCTTAGAGCCCCAGTTTCCTTATCTATAAATGGGAATAAGGACCACTATTCCACAAGACTTTTGTAAAAGGTGAACAAGATAATAAACATGAAAATTTAATAAATTACTATAAAGGAATAATTAATTACCCATTTCATGGACAGAAAATATTATATTAATGACTATTATCATTAGACAGTTAAAGGATATATAGCCAGGCATGGTGGCTCACGCCTATAATCCCAGCACTCAGGGAGGCTGAGATGGGAGGATCACTTGAGCCCAGAAGTTTGAGACTAGCCTAGACAATACAGTAGGACCCGGTTTCTACAAAAAAATACCAAAATTAGCCAGGTGGGATGACGTGCACAAGTAGTCTCAGCTACTCAGGAGGCTGAAGTGAGAGGATCACTTCAGCCTGAAATGCAGTGAGCCATGATGGAGCCCTGAACTCTAGCTTGGGCAACAAAGTGAGACTCTGAGACTCTCTCAAAAAAAAAAAAAAGATATGTATGATTAGACAGTTCAACTAAGTGTGTGTGGCATGATAAATAGCTTTAGTGAGATATAATTCACATACATACACCATTTAAAGCAAAATTTCAGTGGTTTTTTAGTATTTTCAGAATCGTACGATCATCATAATAAATTTTAGAGAATTTTCACCATCTCAAAAACATGAAAGTAGGTAGACGGTACCATAACGATTCAATAAAGTAAGCTGCATAGAACAGTATCTGTCACTGGGCAGGTAATATCCTCTGTAAGAGGAAACAGACTTATTAATGGAATCTGTGCTTGGGCTAACATCAGAGAGATATGGATTCATACCCCATTTCTGCAGTTTACTCGCTGTTTGTCCCCAGGCAGGTTCTCAAGAGGTGCAGTGAAGATTTAACAAGACCATGAATATAAAGCACTTCATGTAATGCCTAACACAAAGTGGATGCTCAGCTCTTCCATTTTCTCCCCCCAACAAGGGCATAATAAGGTCCATGAGAAGCTTAGACCATTATGGTTTACTGATGCCTCCTCAGCCAACTCTTAAAACTTTACCTAGAACACATTAGATGCTCAATAACACTTGCCAAATGAATAAATGAATTTTCTTACCAAGCTCCTGGGGTTCCCACATGTAAGGATCAACCCCTCCATAGCTGAAAGACTCATATCCTTGGGTCCCTGATTCTGCTCGATCATCCCCTTCTCGTTTCAACAACTTGTCCTTTGCTTTCTTAGCCTTCTGGACAAGACCTTGAAAAATGGAAAAAACGATACAAATGAATCATGAAGAACACCCATTAGAGTCAAGGGAAATCTCAAAAAACAAAAGTTGACGAAATAATTATCATTTGTTTCAAAATGCACCAGAAATATTAAGATCCCAAGTAAAATGCAGGAACAAGCACGCAAACACTATATTACAAATACTGCAGAGCAATATACTGGTCAGTCAACATTAGTTGGTTTAGGTGGCCAACATATGGGCTAAATTACTGCTCACTGCCAAATTTAAGAGCACAATTTTAAAAAGTTTTAAAATAAAATTTGATGAGGGAAACGGAGTGATGGAAATCTTTTCTCCTTTATCTTAATTGGAGTGGTTAAGTAGATATACATATTTTTCAAAACTTACTGAATTGGGCCAGGCGCAGTGCCTCATACCCATAATCCCAGTTTGAAAGGCCAAGGGAGGCAAAGGGAGGCAAAGGGAGGCAAATTGCTTGAGTCCAGGAGTTCAAGCCAGCCTTGACAACATAACAATACCCCATCTCTACTAAAAACGCAAAATTCTAGCTGGGTGTGGTGGCACACACCTGTGGGAGAATCACCTGACCCCAGGAGGTCGAGGCTGCAGTGAGCTGAGATTGTGCTACTGCACTCCAGCCTGGGCAACCAGAATGAGACCCTGTCTCAAAAAAAAAAAAAAAAAAAAAAAAAAAAAAAAAAATTAGAGTGTACACTTAAAAACTATACCTCAGTTAAAATAAAGTGGTTTTTTTTTGTTGTTGTTGTTTTGAGATGGAGTCTCGCTCTGTCACCCAGGCTGGAGTGCTATGGCACAATCTTGGCTCACTGCAACCTCCACCTCCCAGGTTCAAGCGATTCTCCTGTTTCAGCCTCCTGAACAGCTGGGACTACAAGCCCCCACCACCATATCCAGCTAACTTTTTTGTATTTTTAGTAGGAAAGGGATTTCTCCATGTTGGTCAGGCTGGTCTCGAACTCCTGACCTCAGGTGATCTGCCTGCCTCAGCCTCCCAAAGTGCTGGGATTACAAGTGTGAGCCACCGAGCCTGGCCTAGTTTTTTAAAAACTAAGTTCTATAGTACTAATTTATTTACCCCAGGAACTCATGAGTAAATTTTCTCATTTACCTCCAGTATGGGATTCAGCTAAACCTCCATTGCTGGACTGGTGTTCCCTATAAGGCTTAACTGGACACAGAGTTCTTCCTTCCCCACTATTGCCCACCCGCTTACTGAATCCATGTGAGAATATTTTCAAAAAGCTTCAAGAAAGAGATAAAACATCTACAACATAACACAAATGGAACCAGATTTGGTAAGAAGAGAAAATGAACATTTCCTGTATTTAGTCCTTGTATACATGAGGCACAATGCAAACTGCTTGCAAATACATTACGCCAGTTCATGATCACAATGTTATAAGGCAGGTAACAGCCCTACTTACAAATTAGGAAATGACATCAAAGATGGGGAAGAACTTGCTTCGTCCAAGATCATAGAGCTTATAGGTAACAGCAGGGCTGGAAGTAGACACTTCATCTGTCTGAAATGAGAGCTCCAGCTCTCCCCAGCTAGTGCTGATTCACAAACTATGCCTCTGCAGAACATGGGTTCTGCCACCTGTGCTGGGGAAGGGAACCACCTGTTAAACTGAACAATCAGCTGAATGGGGAAAAACAGAATTCTCAGTTCTAAGCTGCTCTCTTATGAATGTTCTTTAATCTTGGATGACTGCTATCCCTTTCTTCCACCAGAATCTACTAGAAACTCTCAGACTGAATATTAAATGATATCATTACTTTTACATTTTATTAATTTTTTAGAGACAGGGTCTCACACTATCACCCAGGCTGGAGTGCAGTGGTGTAATCATAGCTCACTGCAGCCTCGATCTCTTGGGCCTAAGCAATCCTCTCACCTCAGTCTTCCAAGTAGCTGGAACTATACGTGTGCACCATCGAGACTAGGTAATTCAAAAAAATTTTTTGTAGAGATGAGGGTCTCACTATGTTGCCCAGGCTGGCAGGCAGATAAGATTAGTAAGAATACACTTGTCTTTTTTTAAAGACAGTCAGGCCAATAAGCAAACCAAATCAGGAGATTATTGGTCACTCTGGGACAGCTTTTTCCAAACTGGAAAAATACCAAAACAAAAGTACATCCTTTAAAATCCACTGAAGTAATCTTTGTCTTTTCTTTCTTTTTTGAGATGGACTTTCACTCTTGTTGCCCAGGCTGGAGTGCAACGGCAGCAATCTCGGCTCACTGCAACCTCTGCCTCCTGGGGGTTCAAGGGATGCTCCTGCTTCAGCCTCCCGAGTAGCTGGGATTACGGGCATGTACCACCATACACAGCTGATTTTTGTATTTTTTTAGTAGAGACAGGGTTTCACCACGTTGGCCAGGCTGGTCTCAAACTCCTGGCCTCAGGTGATCTGCCTGCCTCAGCCTCCCAAAGTGCTGGGAGTACAGGCATGAGCCACCATGCCTGGCCTAGTAGTCTTTCCTAATAACAGGGGAATGTGAGTTAACAAATAACAATTCCGTTTTGCAAAAAACACTAAAGTAGCAGATTAAACAGGCATTCTATACCATTTAACCACTTCAGGAGACAGAAAAACTGCCTGGCAACCTTACCAGAATGGATTTAGCCCTTCCAGAGGAGGCCAATTAGGAATAATCCCATACATTTAAAAAAATACTCCAAAGCAAGAAACCACAGTCAATTTTCAGCTATCTTTTCTTCTACTTACTGAAAATGGGCTAAAGTGGAGTTGAACCAGGGCTAGGGCTTGAACCCACTAACTTTTTACTAATGACTAATCTATCTTTTCTTTTTTGAACTGCCCCCAAAATCTAATACCAAGGTTCACTCTTTTAGCTTTAATTTTTCACTTGCCTAAAACTAGCCATCTCATAACATTTCTAAGAACCAAAAGACCAAATGAAGAGGTGATCTGCTTTCAAAAGGGCTTTTCAAAAACCCTTTCATGTCAGTCCTTAAAACTTTACTTTGCTGATTCTGAAATGTAGAAAACTGCAACATAATCAAGAATTCCTTTCAAACTAAAGACATGATCATTAGTAGTACTAGAAGTAGAGATATGAGAGGTAGATCAGGGTGGAAAATAAAGGGAAAAACCAAGAGAATATTTTCTTTCTTGAGACAGAGTTTCACTCTCTCTCAGGATAGAATGTGACAGGCTTGATCTCCTGGGCTGAAGCGATCCTCCCACCTCAGCCTTCCAAGTAATTGGGACTACCAGTGCATGCCACTACAACTGGCTAATTTTTTTTAATAATTTTTTTTAGAGATGGTCTCACTGTTATCCAGTGTGGTCTCAAACTCCTGGGCTCAAGCAATCTTCCTGCCTTGGCCTCTCAAAGTACTAGTATTACAGGTGTGAGCCCCTGCAACCGGCTGAAGTAACTTTGTTTTTGTTTTTATGTCAGGGTTTCACTCTGTTGCCCAGGCTGGAGTGCAGTGACATAATCATGGCTCATTGCAGCCTTGACCTCCTGGGCTCAAGGGATCCTGATGCCTCAGCCTCCCAAGTGAAGTGGCTAGGACTACAAGTGCATGCCACCACGCCCAGCCAATTAAATTTTTTTTCTTTGTATAGACAGGATCTATGTTGCCCAGGCTGGTCTCAAACTCCTGGGCTGAAATGATCCTCCCCACTTTGGCCTCCCAAAGTGCTGGGATAACAGGTGTGAGCCACTGTGCCCAGCCAAGGATCCTTTCAAGTTTCTTTCACAAGGCACAAAATTTCTACTCTATTTAGTATTCCTTAAATAGATTCCTATATCTCTATTCTATTAATGTAAATAACCTTAAACATTTTTCCTCTTAAAAAAGAGTCATTGTAGGAATCTGAGAACAGTCTCTAACCTCTATACCCACTGGTATCACCAGTTTTAGCAATGGTATTGTAAATGACTTAGTTCAGCTGACACCAAGACTGGAAGCTAGTTGAAAACCATGGAGGCTCTTAGGTTGTCCAAAGGAAACTTTTATAATCAGGTTTTTTAGTTTTGTTTTTGCATCATTTCCCCCAGGAAGCTGCAATGCATGCTGTGATTGGAACATGGGCATTTCATCCTCAGTGATGTCACGTGCAAAGGGAAGCACTGGACTTAGAGATAACAGAAGACCTACATTCCAGGCCTAGCTCTGCCAATTCCTGTGTGACCGTGGATAAGTAACTCAACGCCTCTTGAGCCTCACTTCACTTACTATCTATAAAATGAGACCAATCACCTTCTTTTTTTTTGTTTTGTTTTGAGATGGAGTCTTGCTCTGTCACCACGCTGGAGTGCAATGGCGCGATCTCGGGTCACTTGCAACCTCTGCTTCCCAGGTTCAAGCAATTCTCCTGCCTCCGCCTCCTGAGTAGCTGGGACTACAGGCACGCGCCATCACGCCCAGCTAATTTTTATATTTTTAGTAGAGATGGGGTTTCACCATGTTGGCCAGGATGTTCTTGAACTCTTCACCTCATGATTGGCCCGCCTCAGCCTCCCAAAGTGCTCTCGCGCGCGCGCTCTCTCTCTCTCTCTCTCTCTCTCTCTCTCTCTCTCTCTCTCCCCTCCCTCTCCCCTCCCCTCTTCTCTCTCTCTTTCTCTTTCTCTCTCTCTCTCTCTCTCTCTCTCTCTCTCTCTCGCCCAAGCAAAAATGCAGTGGCACAATCACCACTCACTACAGCCTTGATCTCCCTGGGCTCAACCAATCCTCCAGTACCTGGGACTACAGGCACATACCTCCATGCCTGGCTAGTTTTTTTAAAATTTTTTTGAGAATGGGTTTCGTCATGTTGCCCAGGCTGGTCTTAAACTCCTGAGCTCAAGTGATCCGCCCACCTTGGCCTCCCAAAGTGCTGCAAATAGAGACGTAAGCCACTGTGCCCCGCAAGAGGAGCAGCATCTTATTTGGAGATTAGAATCTGAAGTCCAGGAAATACAATAAATGTATGTATAGTCAAAAGTACCTTTGAAGAATTCTTTCCACAGCTCCCTCAGATCTGAGCTCTTGGAAGCTCAAAAACCAAGGTTTTTAGGTTGTTTCTCTTTGTTCTGCAACTATGACCTTCCTTTTTCTGAGGTATAGAGGGCAAGATACCAATTGGGGAAGGAAGGATGGTGGGAAGGCCTAAATCTGTGACAGGTAAAATGGGTGTATAATGTGCCTCCACCATCATAGCAAAGGAAAGAAATGCCTCTCCAAACCCTGTTAAGCTGGTGGTCAGAGAACTGTCAAGCCAGATCACAGTGGTTACATTTACTAGATTCAAAGTCAGACTGTGTTTCACTGAGCGGCTTTAGACATGTTATCTAATCTGTGTGTGTGCCCTCATCAGCAAAACGTGGCTCACAGCCACAAAGTTATTGTGAGGATTAAATGAAATTAATAAACAGGGAGATTCTGAAAATGCCTGGCACATGACAAACTCTAGTCATCTGTTTGCTACTACTATTATCATATTCCTGTAGCAACACCGAAGCTGATAAGAACTATCTCATGAGTTAAAGCTCTCACTGACAGCAGGGGATAGGCAAGGCAAGGTCCTCACTTCTTACTTTTAATTTGCCCTTGACATCACGGTCTTCCCCCGAGTGCTCTTCCTCGTAATGTGAATGAAGCTGATAGAAAGACTGCAGATCCTTCAGGCACAGAGGGCAGAGAAAGCCCTCCCTCACCTCCCCTGGGTCGTCCAGAGAAGCCATGGCAGTGCCCCTCTCAACCCTAAGAAGACAGGGATCTCATGCCAAGAGTCAGCTTGATTCCTTCCAAGGAACCACGGTTCCTGCAGCATTCGCTTAATCAAGCAGTACACAGATGGTGAGGAAGTGGCTTCATGGCCTTGGATGAGGTTCCCTCTCTGGAATAGGAGGAGCCCTAAGAAAGGAAAGAAGAAGGAAAAAAAGCCAATTCAGGCAAACTGGTAGCAACTGAGAATTTTCTTCATTCTTTTCACAGTACAACAGTGCAAGTTTGTTTGTTCAGTGCAAGTTTGAGAAAACAAACTCTTTCTCAAATCCTTAGCCCAACCAAGCTGCGAAACCTAAGATGTAAAAACATCACTGGACAACAACAACTCAATGAAGTGGGAAGCACAGATTCTTGAAAAAAAGCAAATACCTTGACAATTCTCTTACATTCATTCCAAATGATTCAGTTTCATAATTCGTATGCCACTTTAGCCACTGGGGGAGTGTCTGAAGTACTTATCAACAAGCAGAAGTTTTTACTTGACGCTCTTTACCTTGATTGTTTACTTGACCACATATGGTGAGTTCTTAACACTTGTAAGGCACCTGTGTTAGAAATGCAAAGATGAAAAAGACATAGTATCTGCCATAAAAAACTTACAAAAAAAACCAAAAATCCTAACACCAGTTAAAGAGAAACATTAGAAATCTACTAGTCAAAAAGAAAAAATACATTTTATATTTATAGTGCACTTATCTCCAATGGGCTTACGAGATTTTTTTTAAAGAGACAGCATCTTGCTCTGTCACCTGGTGAGCTATAACTGCTCACTGCAGCCTCAACTTACTGGGCTCAAGTGGTCATCCTGCCTCAGCCTCCCAAGTAGCTGGGACTACAGGAGTGTGCCACCATACCCAGCTAATTTTTAAAATTTTTATAGAGACAGGGTCTTGCTATGTTTCCCAGGTGGATCTCTAACTCCTGGCCTCAAGCAGTCCTCTTGCCTGAGCCTCCCAAACTGCTGAGATTACAGATGTGAGCCACTGCACCAATAGATGTTATAAGCCAGTAAGTGACAGCTGAGTAGCAAACCTAATGTTCTCCACTACTCCAGAAATAAAAGGCTGGCCAGGCATGGGTGCTCACACCTGTAATCCCAGCACTTTGGGAGGCCAAGGCAGGCAGATCACCTGAGGTCAGGAGTTCAAGATCAGCCTGGCCAATATGATGAAAACCCATCTCTCCAAAAAATAGAAAAATTAGCCAGGTGTGGTGGCAGGTGTCTGTAATCTCAGCTTGTTGGCTGAGGCAGGAGAATCACTTGAACCCAGGAGGCAGAGTTGCTGTGGGCTGAGATCACGCCATTGCACTCCAGCCTCGGCAACAAGAGCGAAATTCCGTCTCTAAATAAATAAATAAAAGGCTTTGGTGGCTAAATATTTCAGGGCTTAATAAGTTACATTCTCTTTCTTACAAAAAAAAAAAAAAAAAAGAGAGAGAGAGAGAGAGAATGTAACTTAATAAGTTACATTCTCTTTCTTTTCCATGGTAAAGTCACTTTCAATGTCACCTCATAAAGACTCCCAGTCACAGGAGAAATCTAGACAAAACCATTTCACAAAAGCAGAGAAATTTCTCCCAAAGAACCTGGGGCTCCAAGTCACAGTATATAGTGAGAGGGGATGTGTGACCCTTAGCTTTGGATGGACTGTAGAAGACCACCGAGGAGGGACTGCCTGGTCCTCAAAGCTGAAGGGTGGCAGCAACTCAGAAAATAAACAAATGAGACACCAAGCCCCTATTTTTTCCCTCTAGTTAAGAAACCCAGTGACTACATACATGCAGATCCCTGCCTTTTTTCCAAAGAAATATAGCAGCTCTAGGTCTGGCCTGTTCCCTCCCCAGCCAGTGGTTCAACTGATGCTGACTCTGACAGCTCCCTTCCTACCCATGCACTCACCTCTGACAACCACAAATCAAACACGAAGCCCACCACAACCATGCCACACAACCACCCTTCACACCTCAGCCCAAAGCCAAACCTAACTTCCTCAAAGAAATGCCTCTCTTATTCAGGGCATCAGAATGACTTCTTCACAGCACTCATCTCAATTTATAACTGCAGGTACATATGTGCAGTGACTAAGTAAGCCTGTAAAATCTGTGAGGGCGGGCACAGACTCTGTATGTTTTCCCCTTTGCTGACTCCCCAGGGTTTAGCGCAGTACCTGGCACGCACAATGAAGAAACACAATAAAGCTCCATGAATGGAATGAACAAATGAATAAACTCTAAAATCATCTAAGCATACACCATAAACAAATCTAACACAAACCGCGGAATAGGACCCCACAACCATAACTGAACACATATGCAAGCCCCTCGGACTCTAAATCATGTAAAAAGTAAAAAAACACACACACACAATACTTACATGTTCTGCAACTACAAACAGCATGACTGTCACCCCGCCATAGGCCACAACGAGGACACATCCCACAGCAGCACTCAACCCGTTCTCACGACTGCACACAACCACAACCCACATAACTAACACGATTTTTTTTTTTTTTTTTTGAGATGGCGTTTCGCTCTTGCTGCTCAACCTGGATTGCAATGGCGCGATCTCGGCTCACAACCTCCGCCTCCCGGGTTCAAGTGATTCTCCTGCCTCAGCCTCTCGAGTAGCTGGGATTACAGGTGCGCACCACCACACCCGGCTAATTTTGTATTTTTAGTAGAGATGGGGTTTCTCCATGTTGGCCAGGCTGGTCTCGAACTCTCGACCTCAGGTGATCCGCCCACCTCAGCCTCCCAAAGTGCTGGGATTACAGGCGTGAGCCACCGCGCCCGGCCACTAAAACGATTATACATTCGTCGCATGACTATACACAACACGAACGACTCAACCTCGCGGAGCAGAGATGACAACGTCACACATCGCACACACATCACACAAAACGCTCCAAACATCTCCATACGAACTCAGAATACAAAGCGCTTCAGCTTTACACAACCAGAGAACCAAACACAACCGCTCGGAAGACAAGCACCCACCCACTTCCCCCACAGCTGCAAAACCAAACCCGAGTGTCTACGCCCCCCGTAACCGCACAACTACACAGAGCCCAATCACCTCAGGCACACCCAAGCGAAACGCACGGCCTGAAACCGGCATCTCCCACCTCTCACGTCACACCCACCACAACCACACACGGCCCACACCCACAACGGCACGCCCGTCTCCGTTCTGAGAGGAGCCGTGTCCCCGTCCCTCAGACTGGGCCTGACCCTCTGCACCCGGCCGGCCTTCTGCAGGCACGCAGGCCTTTCCAATCCCTTGGGCCCGGGTTCTGGGCCTCCACCGCCCCTCACACAGCCGCGGACGCCATCTCCATCGATAGCTCGGCACTCGGCAGGCACGCCTGCGGCGGCGAATCAACCGTAAGGCACGCTGATAGACAGACGCCTGTCGAGCGCCGAGTCTTCGAGGGAGCGAAAAGGGCGGATACAGATTCGACTAGTGAAGGGCAGGCCGGCGGCTTCTGCGCAGGCGCTATCCGAACGAGGGCGGGGACGGGGGTGGGGAGAGGAGGTGGGGCTCGGTAATTTTATGCGGTTCTTCTGTCCCAGATTCGAACAGGCGGCGCGTCAAAGCCAGCCACTGGCTCTGCATTCCATTGTACAGCTGGGAAAGCTGAGGCCAACAGATCTTTGGCTCTCGACCAATGTGCTCAAAGAATAAGGCAGCCAAGGAGTCGAAGTTCCTGAAGGCTAGAGACAGAAAAAATATTCGGGGGACGTGGAGGCGACGCAAGCTGCAGGAATAGAAACACATGAGTGAGAGTGGAGACTTGGTATAAGAAGGTGTATCTCGGGGGTGTACAGCATGGCCAAACCTGTGGAAAAGATGGCATTTTCAAAAGGCAGGACGATTGATCAGCCAGGACCTACTCTGGGCCTACGCCGTGCTGGATACCATAGGGTATAGAGAGGCAGAACCTCATCCCAGTCCCGGAGACCTATTTGCTTTGTGCCCTGCACACGTTCTGGACCTTAGCAATGGCCAGGCTCCAGGAGCAAGAGCTGCAGAGAACGATGGGACGATCCTGGGGCTCCATTTACATCCCTGCAGTGTTACTGACCCCCTTTTACAGGAGTCAAATGGGGATGATAATGATAGTCTCTGCCTCATAGGGTTGTGAAGATTAAGTGAGATAATTGGACGGTAGGTGGGTGTCCTGCATACTGGTTTTGCCCATCTCACTTTCCCTGCCTTCAAAGAGTATTCCCCACCTGGTCTCTGGACAGGAGCACTGCGCCTCCATCACCTTGCATTTAAGGACATGGGGCTCCGGACTTGGAGAGCATTGAGTTTTTGGAAAGCAATCACCAGTCAAAGGGCAGTGAACTAGGGATCTAGAGACCTAGGTTCTAGCCCTGGCTGTACCTTACTTCGTGGCTTTCAGCCGGTCGTTTCCCCTCTCTTGGCCTGGGTTCACCCATTTGTACAGAAGAAATTGGTGCCAGTGACTTAAAAGCCTTTTCTCTCAATTTGATGGCCAATTTTTTCTTTAACGCTACAAAGTCAGCAGGAGCGAATAATGACTTCCCTTTGTTTGCTGATACAGGCAAGGAAGAGGCTTCCCAACCTGTCAGAAGCAAAGCAATAGGCCCAGCTTCCAGTGTCCATCACTAGCCTCTGCCTTAGGTCCCAAAAGCCAGGACGTGGGAGTAAAACCAACCTCTTGAATGTCTGAGGCCACGGAGGTCCCAGAACAAGCACTTTGGGCAGCTGAGGCAGGCAGATCATTTGAGGTCAAAAGTTTGAGAACAGTCTAGCCAACATGGTGAAACCTCTTTTCTACCAAAAATACAAAAAAGTAGCTGGGTGTAGTGTTGTATGCCTGTAATCCCAGCCACTCAGAAGGTTGAGGTAAGAGAATCGCTTGAACCCAGGAGGCAGAGGTTGCAGTGAGTCGAGATGGTGCCACTGCCCTCCAGCCTGGGGGACAAAGCAAGACTACCTCAAAAAAGAAAAGAAAAGAAAAGAAAAACATATTCATCATTTCATTTGCTCAGAAAAGCAATGGCAATGTGGCCTCACCTTGTAAGTTAACTCTGGAGATCACAATGGATTGAACACTGCTCTCAATATTGTTAATGATAATGACAAAGACCTTCCTATATGCTTCACACTTCATCAAAAGTACTTTCTTTAATCTTTTAGGCAACTCTTTTACTATTTCCATTTTGATAATAATAATGACTAATATTTACTGAGCGATTTGCACATGCCAAACACTGTTCTATGTGCTTTACATATCAACTCATTTAATTCTCATGCAACCCAATGATGTACAAACCTGTACAAAATGTAATATTATTCCCATTTTATAGAAGGGAAAGTGAGGCACAGAGCAGTTAGGTGACTTCCCCAATATCACCAGCTGGTAAGCCTTGACCCCAGAGTCATCTTGCCTTGAGGCTTTCACAATCCCCACTTTTCTTTCCACTGTGAAGTGCTAATAGACTTACTGCACCTCTCAGCCTCCTCCAGGCACCACTCCTGTACTGGGCATAGAGAGGGGGTATAAGCCAGTTAGTTCAAGAAGGGAAGTGTGTACGTGCACACAGATGCTCTGGTGTCAGAGGAGAGACCAGCAGAGTCCCCTGCAGGAATGCAGGAAAGGGTTCCCAGAAGTCCGGCAGCACGTGAGCATGGACCTCAGATAGAAATGATTGGGAAGGCCTTCCAGGCCAGGGGAACCACACATGCAAAGGCATAGTTATGGAGAAGGGCAGGAGTCCTTTAAGAAACTCAGAAAGCTGGGCGCGGTGGCTCAAGCCTGTAATCCCAGCACTTTGGGAGGCCGAGGCGGGTGGATCACGAGGTCAAGAGATTGAGACCATCCCGGTCAACATGGTGAAACCCCGTCTCTACTAAAAATACAAAAAATTAGCTGGGCATGGTGGCGCGTGCCTGTAATCCCAGCTACTTAGGAGGCAGGAGAATTGCCTGAACCCAGGAGGCGGAGGTTGCGGTGAGCCGAGATCGCGCCATTGCACTCCAGCCTGGGTAACAAGAGGGAAACTACGCCTCAAAAAAAAAAAAAAAAAGAAACTCAGAAAAAAGTTCATTCACACATAGAGGGATAATATCAAGCCACTCCTCCTCGATGCCAAAACTGTAGGCAGCTGCTTCTATTGAGAGCACCTCGGGTGTCTGGGTCTCTTCACCCTGGCCCTCTACCTTAGGCTTCTCTGTCTCTTTCTGTCCTTTTGTTCCTCTCTCTATCTCACTCTTTCACTTTCTCTTGGACCCTTATTTGTCTTAAGTTTATCTCAAGCAGCACAAGACATGTTGGCATCACATTAAAATCCTTGGGCAAGAAAATAAATTATGATATTGGTAACACAGCCATCCTTGGGGAAGATATGAGCACATCATGTAACTTCCTGAAGGGCCAGCTGCCCTCCTGGGCTGGCTGGCCCCAGCTCCCAGGCTTCTGCCAGCTACTGTGGTCTGAGCCAGCAGGTTGAGGGAGTTGAAGGTGCCACACCCCATCTGCTGGCACAGGGAAATGAGGGTAATGACAGCATGGCAGAACCTTGCCGGGAGGAACAGGGCGAGGGCATGGCGGGCTGGGTGGTGTTCCGTGAGAAGCAGGTGGCGGTTGCCGTGGCCCTGTCAGGAACAAAACAGGGAATGAGGAAAGAAGAAAGGGAAGAGAAAACGAGGGGAGGAAGGAAGAGGGAGGGAAAGAATGACAAGAAAAAAGTGAAGATGGAGCAAAGCATCGCGGTTACCAGCACATACTCCAGGCCAGTCGACCTGGGTTTGAATCCCAGCCCTGCCTCCTGTGGCCACGTGAACCCTGGGCAAGTCACTTAAATTCTCTGAGCGTCAGTGTCCTCATCCGTAAAATGAAATAATTATAGTACCCACCTCTTAGGTTGGAGGGTTGAATAGGTTAATATTTGGAAAGTGTTAGAACAGCACCTGGCACAGGAGGACTACGTAAATGTTTGTTAAATAAAGAAAAAAGGAAGAGCAGTGTGATTCAGATGCCTTGGCTGTTGTGTCGTGCTGAGTCAGACAATAGCATAGGAAGTGTGAGATCCAATCTGGTGTCATAGAAATAGCTTTGAGAGTCATGGCCTTGCCAGATGGGATGTCTATGAAAATAACTCAGAACAGAATCACATAACAACCAGATTCATTAAATCGAATAGTGGGTGGGGGAACAGCCTCAACAAACCTGAAAAGTAGGAAACATGGAATTGATTTGGGGGATGTGAGCTGGAAAGCCAACCAACTTTCAGGTATTGGCCTAGCGCCTTCTTTGACAAAGCAGGACCACTCCCAGCCCATCCGGGCCTGTGGTAAGTGGGAAGGAGGCACCACTCCCTTCTCTCTGTGCTGGTACCCAAGCCCTGCATTTGGCAAGTGAGGCACAGACTGGATTTCAGCATCCACTTACTCCACCCCGACCCCACTCCCAACTGTGCTGCACACAATCTGCATGGTGGCCCTAAGGACAGGGAAGAGGAAAATCAAGGTCACAGCCTGGTCCTCAAATCATGAGAAAAAGTCACACTGGTTGTCTGCAGCTTCAGATCTCATTCCATGACCCACATCTCTGGAGATACACACCTTCTTCAACCAGTTGAGAAGTTAACCTCAATTTTAACCCAGATTTGAAATGATCTGTGTGTATATTGTATTTTAAGTATTTCAGGTATTTAAGAAAGTTTGGCATGTTAGAGCATCTGACACATTCGTCTTGTGACTCCAATTTAAAATCTGTAACTCAGCAAATGACTTAGGCTTGTGATTTTTAAGTTCATTCAACAAACTATGCATGTATTAAGCACCTACGTAGGTGAGTGCCTGAGATAAGCAAAACAGACATTGATCCCTCAGGGAGTTGACATTCTCATGGAGAGACACAGATGCTAAACAATTCATATACTAAATAAGTATATTATATAGTGCATTCGAAAGTGGTAAGTGCTATAGAAAAAAATAGAGTAAAGGGAACAAGGAGTGCCAGGTTACAGAACTTATAGGGTGGTCAGCGTAGGCCTCATTGAGAAGGCAACATTTGAGCAAAGACTTGAAGGAAGTGAGCCATGTGGATCCCCTGGGGAAGAGTATTCCAGGCAGAGGGAACAGCCAGTGCAAAGTCCTCAGGTGAAAGTGGGCAGGGCAGGTTGAAGAAAAAGTAATGAATCTAACACCCATGTTCATAGCAATATTATTCACAATAGCCAAAAGATGGAGACACCTCAAATGTCCATCAACATATCGACAGAATAATCAAGAGTCAGCATGTTGTGTTTTTTTTTTTTTTTTTTTTAGAGACAGGGTCTCACTCTGCTGCTTAGGCTGGAGTGCAGTG